TTCGGGTGCTGCTCTCTCTCGTACAAAAACAACAACAACAACAACAACAATAATAATAATAATAATGTCATTTCCTATAGACTGAAACTGAAAGGAAATGACTAAATAGATAAATATTTGACCTTTCAAGGGGCCAAGCGAATTTTGGAACATGAAGGTGACAGTCGAGCCAGTCATTATTGGGAATATTTCCGAAGAGCGTAGAAAAATGTCAGGACCACCTAGATTACAGCTAAACTATTCAGAAGGGCACCAGGTTATTGCGAAGACTTGCTGTCACTTAATCTCGAGTTTAATCTCATCAGGCGCTACGTGAGCGTATCATAATAATTTGATTTCAAATTGAAATGATCCTTATTAATAAAATATAAAAAAAAATGTCAAAGCAGCGGAACCAATAATGCTAATAAAATATATACTAATAACAAATCTAAAAAAATTGCTATTTTTAATATTGGTCATAAATGTGAATTTCATTTTTAGGTCAATTTCATTTATAGGATTTTACTATTGGTTTATAAAATTCATACAATTATTATTTTAATAATTTATCTTTTTATGGAGGTACACAATTCTGAAGGTCGAAGAGTTATCTATATTTGTGCGATCGTCTCACGAAAGTTTTCTGTCATGGATTTATGGCTTCCAAGATTAGATAAATGAAATATTGGTGAGAAAAAATGCAATTTCCTACTCTTTGTTTTCTTCATTTTCTTTATCCTTCTCTTGGCATATTTTTTCAATTTATCAATTCGCTTTTCTTTTCTCGTTTTATTTATCATCCTTTCCTCTATCATTATCGTCATCAACAAGATTATTTACAACAACACGTATTCACTCATCTTTTACTTAGGCACCTCGTCAACATTCCTTTGCACCTTATACTTCGCCTCTATTCTAAATTAAAGCAGTTCCATGCAAGATATTGTCAAACAAACAATTAATTAAAGAAAAGACATTAAAAACAGCAACCACAAAAGTTATAACAAAAAGGCAATAGAAATTACGAAAAGCAACGACAAAGAACAAAAATTGATTGACAAAATGCGGGAGACACGCAAAAAGAAAAAAAATTAGGGAGGAAGAAAAAGAACGCTGTTCATTAAATCTGATTGTGTTTCGCGTGTTGGCCGATAGGGGAGGGCGCTGTGCAGTATCTGCCACATCGGGAGGATGGTGAAAAGAAGAGAAAAGGATGGTGAAATGGGAAGGGATATGATTAATCAGGGAGAGGAAAAAAGAAAAGGATGTAAAGCGGAAGTGGGAAGAAGCGGGTGGTGATGACGGCGGTATTGAAGAGCGGTGGAGATGGTGGTACATAGTGGAAGCAAGAATGGAAATAAAAGACCGATCAGAAGACGAAGTGAGCCAATGATAGCAGACAATCCTTTCAGAAAGGCATGAATCCAAAATCTTTTTCGACAGTACATGCTCATCCCAAGCACATTTGACAAAGAAAATCGAAGAATTTAAGCCCACCCAGTTGTTACTAGTCTACTTGGCGCTGTTTCAACACAAGTCTTCGAGATTAACAGATGCATCAATATTCTAAGTGAAAAAGAGACATGCCGAATGTCTTTATCATAATGATTAATCCTCAAGTTTCATTCTGCCAAAAAGACTGGATTAGTATTCGGAGCTTTTAACAAGAGAGTAATCATGTTGCTATTAAGAAAAGTCCTGTATTCGATGCTGATGAGGAAAATAATCAGTACTAGTGCATTTCGTCTTACATGTAAGCAATTTTCCAGTTCTTCAGATTTACTAATAAATTTCACTGTCGCTGCCACTGACTACCAGAAACTTGGTTCTATCATGACCTGCCATATTTTAATTCGGTATCCAGCATTTTAACAAACAAAAAAAATCTCAAGTTGTTAACAATTGCCGCAAAACATTGTTGATTTAAGATGAAATCATCTATTATGACATGTCTCTAATTTGTATTTACATACATTGTATTTATTTTCAATTTTTCTAGTTGAATTGTTCACCTATATTGCATATATAATTTTTCTTCCATATTGAAACGTTGTGATAATAACACATAGGATGAGGACAATAGTTCAGATGTAAATAATGTTATTGAACATAATTAGGTTAGAATAAAAATTGGGTTTTATACTACCTTATGAGATTAAGTACAGTGAATGGACTTCTATCATAGATTTGGGGAAGAACAAGACCTTTGAAATGTCCCTAGATACAGATAATGCATATCTCTTGCAAGGAATATACAGATAATATTTATATCTTGCAAGGAATTCCACACCTTTACAAATTAATTTCCAACAGGTTAGCCTCAGAGTCACACCTCACTTCCAGAAAGTTACAGATAAAAAAAGTTTTAGTTTTCTTTTATCATCGATGCTTTCTTTATCCTGCTAATAACCACAAATTAACTTTGTAGAAAGAAACTTTATGAAACCGACCGTTGTATAATCTCCATCTTAATTTCTCGGATGACAAGTTATTAAACATATTATTTACATATGGACTATTGTTCTCATTTTCGTTGTTATTATCACAATTTTTCAATATGGGAGGAAAATGACACCAATGAATCAATAGCAGCAAATGTAAGAAAAAATCTCGGTGACTGCAATTAAATGTGACAAGCAGCTGCATTTACAGGGTCAGTAGTAATAAGATTACGTTAAAGGCTCCAACTTCTAGACTTAGGATTGTCCCATGGGACAATATCCAAGTAGATGAGAACGTTGTTTCGTGATTTTGGAGAAATAGTAATTGTGAGTTTAATCAATGGAACGTCTAGTACAACGAGATATCCCTAGACATGGACAGCGAAACGAGAAAAAACAGCCTCCATAGATTAAATATAAGGTTCAGTTTGAAAATCCTTAAAGATACTGGATCAAAAAGTACCTGAAATAGTCGGAGGATACAACAACCGAAGCGTTATAATAACAACAACAAAAATAAGTACAGATGTAAACGACTGTTGCATACTTCGAATTTTATAGAAACAAATGTGCACATATTTGTTCATTACAAAAATCTTAATCTTTTTTTAAATTTGAAAGATCGATCAAAACAATAAAGATGTGTCTAAAACAGGAAGGTATGCTCAAATCGTATTAATTGTTGATGCAAAATCTCATAGCTTATCGCTCACTAATTAGGGCATATGGTATCTTTTACCATGGTTACAAAAAATTGAATCAAGCAAATAAAAATATACGCAGACTGAATCAGTCAAAGTATAAACCAATTTCAGTCAGTTCTTTTCAGTGCTGGTTAGTTTAATAACAAATGACAGAAAGTTGTACAAAAAAAATCCGAAGGTATATAGAAAAAGTGAAAGAGAGTAACAAAGAATGGGATCGAAAAATAGCATTTGAAAACGGATAAAACAATGCTAGACTAATTTCCTGTATGGCAAGGAATATTGAATACTTTGAAGAAAACATTTGAAGGAATGAGCAATAAAACAAGACTTTTAAGAATTTTTCACAATCGAAAACTACCTTATGATTTTTTGAAGATTACTAATGTGTCTTGATTGTGTTTGTAATATCGCCATGACTACCTTTTGAAAAAGACTTGGTCAAAAGGATCCTAAAGGTATAAAAAATGACGTTTATTTTGTTCAAATATATAAGTCTTAAGTGCACTATTCTTACAAACCATCTATTGTGAGATCGGCCAACGCTGACACTCATCAAGTGAGCTAGCTATTTGTAGATAGATCTTTTTAGATGATTTTTCTTTTTGAAAAATCTATTTGTTATATTCTCCAGCTTCCATCGTCTTTCTTTCCATTTAGTTTTTACTCTTGAACTTTGTTTCTATTTTAAAGCAACATTCATAGTTTCATTAAACTGCACTAATCCCTTGAGAAAATATTGTTTCAGATTCCAATTTATTCGGTAGATTTGGCTTGCCATTTCGTACTTCTCCCACCTATTTACTCCTCCTACTCATACTCTCCTTTCTAATTGTCTCTCTTTTCTCTCCCCTCTCTCTCTCTCTCATAAACATACACACACACGCACACATACATACATATTTAACATTAAATTTACACAGTAAGAATTCAAACATGTTTTATTAAATTCAACCGACAAGGTATATTTTAATTTTAGTATAATTTTATTCTTTACAAATAAATAGTCGCCTATCAAATTTATGGGGAAATTGCCCATGATAATGTTCTTCGAGTACTTTCAATAATCTCTAGTCATTAACAAAAATTTGTCAGTTCTGAAGGGAAAAGTTTTTAATTTACTGAATATTTGATACAATTATATAAAAGAAATCAACTCGCATTAAATAGAATATCTTTTGCATAAGCGGTATTTCAAAATGCGTCATCTGCTGATGCTGTCAAGCTTCGTGACCTCCTTGCGAACTTGACAGTCCTAGACGGTTGATTTTTATAAAACTTGGTTGAACTCTTGATCGTTAAATATATGTTATATATCTCATATATATGAAGTTAGAGTGGGTAACACTTAACTGCAACAAATACATGAAAACATTTATTACAAAGCAAATGAAAACATTAACAATTAGCAAATGACGAATTGATTGATAGATACAGATAGAGTTCCATGTATTTCATATTATTTGCAAAGGTCTAAACAATGTGAGAGTTGATTTTTGACTGTAAGCCATTAACTTACGCGGTTTATTTTCTTCTTCATTTGATTCTTTTATCTTCTTTTGACTTTTCTACTTGTCCACCTTTGAAATTATAATAGTTGTGTTTGAACTCTCTACTTTTTTCTTACCCATTGTGTACACTAATCCTTTCGATGGATTATCTACTCTAAGTCTTATCCGTTTCTGTGCATCTTACAAATCTGTTTTCCTCGAGTCCCTCATATTTTGCTATACCAATCTACAAATGAATGACAGTTTTCTTCTTTCAGTCCTTTCCTTTTTATCCTTTTCCTATCCTTATATCTCTTCAAAATAATCCAATGCCAACTTGCCTTTAAAATCAAGTGAAGAATATAAAAATTAGGTTTGATTGCATGCAGTTTCTTTCCCAAATGTCCATTTTCATGCGTAGCATCGGTTTTCCAAAAGGGTCTTTAGTATTGGCAATAAGATTCAATAGAAATTAATTCTTTTATTTACTATTCAGACTTATTTTAGGTAATTTGTCTTCTTCGTTTGATACTTCAATCTTTTCTACTTTAAAGAAATATTTCTATTCACCTAATATAAATACTGGCAACTCTGTACAATTCTTCCTCTTCTTCTTCTTCTTCTTCTTCTTTGAAACTGTTGATACAAGTAAATTCTCCCTTTACTCTCTATGTTTCTCTCTGAAATTTTCATAGTATTCCTCTTTTTTCAATTATGATTTTAGCAGGGCTTTCATTTTCTTTTATTACCTCAGTAATTATTGCGTTCTCCATTTCATTTCTATTATCATCTGAGATTCTCATCTAAAATATTGCATATATATTAGGACGCGTTCTCTTCTCAGTTTCATACTTATATTCCATGTTTCTCCTTCACACCCACTTATTTACTTTTCTCTACTTCACTTCCAAAAACTCGTCACTTAATTGCACTTAAGGCCCAAACTGATACTGAAAGTGAAAGTGAAAGTGGGTGGGATGTGACTTCATACTGACGTCACACACCGATTTTCCTACTTTTCTCGCACTCTACACATTTTGTGTTGTTTGTGCGGCAACGTTCCAAGCTCCGCCCCATTACATTCCTTTTAATAAATATTCTCTTCCTCTCTCCTCACTTCCTACTCTGAATCTTCTCTCGATCTCCCGTTTGCCGCTGCTTCACGCCTTAGCAGGGCCACAACTGCATATCTTCGACTGCTTTCGTTCATGTCTCTTCCATCTTCTTTGGCGCTTTTTCCCTCACCCATACCCGTTCGACTCATGCCAAAAATGTTTTTCTTCTACACTTACTCTCACATTCACCTCTCCCTACTCAAATCTTTGCGATAAAAATAACTTACATGATTATATATACGATCACCAGTATACGCATAAGGATATATTTATATATGTAAAGACAATAATGTGCATGAAATAAAGGCACTTACATACGCATACTTATATATCGATCCATAGTTATATGTCTTTATTGTTTTATCTATCTATCTATCTATCTATCTATCTATCTATCTATCTATCTATCTATCTATCTATCTATCTCTCTCTCTCTCTCTCTATATATATATATATATATATATATATATATATATATATACCAGCACATATATAGATGTATACTTTTTCGCGAGGGACTTAAAATGCATACTTACTTAGAGGGGCTGTTTGATAGACATGGATAGAAAATGCATTAGGATTCATACAGCTTATATGTGGACACTGATACAAGCAGACATGAACCTCGATTCCCATTTTTTATTTTTTATCTTCTATATGAGGATTAGCCTCATATAGAACATATATATATATATATATAAATATATATATATATATATATATATATATATATATATATATATATACAAAACTTTACAATGACAATTAGTTTCAAGCACAAGGGATCCTCATAAAGTTGAAAACACACACACACACATGTATATATATATATATATATATATATATATATGCAAATTTCGTTGAAAACGACTAACAAGTTGCAGTGGTTTGTATAATTTCTGTTTCGTTTTTTTATTTTTTCTTTCTATGACATAAATCTTCGCCGAAACTTTTAGTCATAATCAAGGATGAATTTCTTTTACTTTTAACAGAATAGTAAAATAAAATTTATTCTGGATAATGGCTAAATGTGAGGCCGAAATACGCTTGGAAAATATTCAGACAAGTTTTATATAATTTATATGCTGAAAGGAAAATAAATTATACGAACATGGGAGAAATTATAAAAAATACTCAACAACTGCATCTTTTTTTCTCTCTCTCTCTCTCTCTCTCTATATATATATATATATATATATATATATATATATATATATATATATATTACCAGACGCACTTGAGTTTCAAATAGTCAAGGAGGTTGAAATCAGTGGAGAGGTTGGTTATTTAATTCTTGTTAGGCGGTTGGAGAATTTTAAGTAATGAAATGCTCTGTCCAAGAATGCTCGCAACCTAAATTCAACAGTGAGAGGAAATTAATTTATAATCAAGGATGGAAATGTGGGATGGAATAATAATCGTCATTATATATGATTGTATATATTATATTTTATATTATATCTATCATAATATATGATAATGTAATATAATATAATATAATATATATATATATATATATATATATATATATATATATATGTGTGTGTGTGTGTGTGTGTGTGTGTGTGTGTGTGTGTGTAGATAGATAGAGATAGATAGATAGATAGATAGATAGATAGATAGATAGATGAAATACCAAAGAAAAGTCGGCCATGTATGCTTCTTATAATGTTTAGATATAATAGGCCTCTGAAAGAAATTCGAGAAAATACTAATATTGAAAACAAATAAATTATCCGGGAAATAAAATTCCAGTTCATTTTTCATTTTTTATTTCTTGTCTTGTCGAGAATGGACAAGGCGTGGCCAAAAATTCGGATTTTTAAAATCTTTCTCATCATGCTTCCATTTCATCAAAATGTCTATAATATATATTATTCGTCTTATTGCCAGTATTATTATTTTTATTGTTTTTTCTCGATTCTTTCTTCCTCCTATTATACATACATACATACATACATACATACATACATATATATATATATATATATATATATATATATATATATATATATATATATATATTTGGTATTTGATAAAAATATGATGACAAAATATTTTTCTATAGTTTTTGTTTTATATAGTTGACATGTGGAACCAAATTTTAGTTGTTTTTTTTTTTTAATCAGAAAATGTTCAGTTACGGTGCAAACATGCCCAGTGCTTGATTGTGCTTAAACGTCAGAAATAAACCGTAATAATAATATAATAATCATATGTAAATATTTAGTATCTATCTATCCCCCCCTTTCCCTCTTTCCTCTCTTCTCTCTCTCTCTCTCTCTCTCTCTCTCTCTCTCTCTCTATATATATATATATATATATATATATATATATATATATATATATATATATATATGAATGAGTGGCATAGGTTCATACGCTTAAATATGCATGTATGTATATAATGGCAGAAAAATGAGATTATATTCTTACAGAGATTACATATATTTCACTATCTATCTATCTATCTTTATATATATAGCCAAACTTTCCCTGACGATCCGTTTAGGTGAAACCTAGGTAGGTTTGTCTGGCTCACTAGGTGTATCTAGGTCTGCTCTACGGTTGTATTGAGCTCTTTTTGTTAGTTAGTTGTTACTCGTATCGGGGTTTTTCTTTGGGCTTCAGACCTGCATCTGTGCGATTTTTTGTCGGCAGAAGTCCATGTTTGTAGCGCTTTCTTTTTTAAAACCTTTTTTCCCGAGATTGATTTGATTAGCAAATCAAAATTCGAGGGTTTTTCGAAACGAGTCTAGTTATCTATATTTATATGTATCTTTTATATATATATATATATATATATATATATATATATATATATATATATATATATATATATATATATATATATATTAATTTAAAAGAAAAACAGACCACTTTTAAGGTTCTATTAGTTGGAACCTTAAAGTGGTCTGTTTTTTCTTTAAATTAAATTATTCGCTCTGACTTAACATTAATATATATATATATAAATGCTCATTTGAGTATATTAACTTGTGCTCTCATGCATTATGTAGAAAATTCTCGGCATACGTTCATTTATATTTACTCGCAAATTAAATATATGTACATATGTAAATACATATGTACATACAGACAACTTTTTAGTACAGTGCTTGTACAAGTTTACTGCGTTTAGTATAATGTTTTGGCTTTTACTTTCATTTGCTCAAAGTGTGTGAAATCTTAATTTATGTGGGGATATCTAACATCAAGTAACTGCAGATATATTTTTCCGTTAGCTAAGGATGATATCTTCCCGTCCAAAGGACGAAAACTAAGACACGTATTTCTCTGTTTTAATCTATTTTCTTCCATTCCTATCTCTAACCCTGTCGACCCTTACTCTACCCAGCATTTACGACTTTTATCCCGTTTCTGCTTGCATCCATTCTGCTACACCTCACCTAACCCTCTTTACTCTGTACTTTACCTCAGAAAACTGTCAGTATTCACCATGTCAAACATAACATGTGCACTCAACATTTCTTGTGTAGAAGAGACAACTACTCTTCTACAAACACGTACACATATACCGGGGCACATATATATAAATACACATATACCGGGGCACATATATATAAATACACATATACCGGGGCACGTGCCTTAGGCCGATGCTTCGCAAGTTACGCAGGTAAGCCATTGCGTATGTTCAAAGCTTATGGCGTGATGCACTTGTATAGTCTAATGATAAACATGACAAATAAAGTAAATACATACAAATACATATACACATACACATACTTTAACACGCGTATCTTATTCTAGGAATTCAGGAGTGATATGTCTGTGCATATGAACACACACACACATATATGTGTGTGCGCTTTCTAGATAGATAGATAGATAGATAGGCACAGAGTGAGAAATTAACCAGAAAGAAGACAATTTTCAACAAAAGATATATGTAGTAACGAATAAAATGTTACAAAATATAGAGAAGCAGAGGGCAGTTACTTTTGCTCCTTAAAACGAACCTCTTTTAAATTTAATATAAGCTTTAGTAGTCTACGATTAAATAATAATGAATTTTCAACAGCAACAACATCAGGAAAAATATCAACAACAACAACAACAATAATAATGATAATAATAAAAATAATAATAATAACTTTTTAATAGACACGAGACAAAAAATGAAATAAACAGCGTGATTTCCCATTGCCATTATGGGTATATGTAGAAATAATTATGTAGAAATAATTATAAGATTAAAATATATGAGAAAGAATAGAAAATAATCCAGATAAAAGAATTACTCA